ATATCACGTGACTTAATTTATGCCACGAGGTATTCTGTTGATGTTGTTACGCCGTCCGCCATATTGGACGTGCCGGTTGAACTTACTGACAAATTATAAAACGCATTAAGCATACTTCAAGGTACCCTGAACATTTGTAGTCATATCACACTTGCTATTTTAGATACCGAAGAGGAAGGTTCTAGGGTTATCGAGGCCAAATATTACACTGAGGCACGTTTTTATTCAAGAATATGTTCCACAAATCAAAATTGGTCATCTACATCCGGACAGTTTCATTTTATATCAGCCTCGATGGCAACGTGACGATCAGAGTCTCTGCCCTCCCCCCTAACCACAGATATTTTCCATGCACCTTTTCATTTGAATTGTCTCACCATAGAATTGCTGCTGGTCGCTTCACTAACCTGAACAATTTAATTGTTTTGGCTAACACAGTCGTGGTTTAGGGGCGGTATTTCGAATTACTTTATACCCAGGGCAATCACAGCGACCAATCTTCAGAAAGCCTAAAATATCTGTCTTTCAGCTCATTAAAAACGGAAGAGTTTTGTTTTCTCCTCCAGATGTCATTAATTGCTGGAAATAAAGGGTATATTCAGTTTCCGGCCTAAAAAGGCTAAATTTCAAGGTTTCGGCTTATAGAGCAAGGTAGCCCCACTTAGAAGAATCGATCAGGCCGTCAAAGGTTTCAAGCGGGAATAATACAGGGGGCGCCTATGGGGCACAGCCGATCAGAAAGCAGGATATAAATCACGTAATGAAATGGACCAATTAGAGAACGGCATTCTCACATTCCATTCTCGACGCCATCTTCAGTTCTCTGTCTGTCCACAGGCTGGCTATTCCAGAAGTCGGCATGCGTGGCCATCGACGCATTTAAGTGTAACAAGTAACTAAGTACCTAGATTGCATGTATACTTTAATTTCTTCCCACAGCTCTACTAGACCCTACTACAAAAGAGCATTTCTCTTGTCTGCACACAATTAACTTACCATCATATTGTAGAATTAATGTTATTGAGGTTTTGATGTCTGTCAGGGAGTTGTGTGCATCAACTGACAATATTTCATCATTTTTAGATGGCACATAAGTTAAATTCTTTTGGGGCGAGACTGCTTCGGTAATCTCTAATTCACTAGGAGGGTTTTGTACATTGAGGGAAATCGCGTCCACTTTGCATTGTGGAAGTTTTCATCTGCTTGAGAGGAGTACTTTGGTCACAATGAATAACGAAGAAGACGAATTTCCCTGGACTTCTTTCTCTTCGGATGTAAAAGGCTATGAGACCAATTTAAGTATATAATAAATGTATGACTGAATGTATGTTCCAAATCAGGTAATTTTCACGTTGCGTCACGGAAAAGGGAAATCGAGTTAATTAGTTCTCTAATGTTTCTATCGAACATCGAAGATCGGTCGTGGATGAAAATTCTAACTTACGCATTCGCGTCCAAGTTGAAGGATTCCAGTAGGATACCACAAGTCTAGAGGACTCTGCCATGGTATCCAACGCCATTGAATGCCGCAAATGTTTCTTGCTCAGTTCGCCATGAATCAAAACAATGCTTCTGTATACGTCATAAACTGCCAAAATGACCTCTTACACATTCTGAGCCGCAATGCCAATGGACCAAAATCATAGCAAAAACACTTTTTAGGCCAAAACATGACTGACTCAGAAAAAAAATAACGTTTGCAAAATAAATATATTCGGGACCTAAACTTAGTGTTAGAGAAAAAAAATACCTCTGGCCTTCAGTTCTCCTTTAATCCTCTTCCTTTCCTTTTTTTGCAGATGCTATCTCTCTAAATAAACTTTATCCTCGTGACCACACGTTGTTGAAGGCGTTAACCTCACTCTTCAATGTAAAGTGACAGGTGGCAATCCTGAGCCAAATATTACGTAGTATAGTATGACAGGAAACATCACAGCACTATCACACCGAGAGAACTTGACATTTTCCAATATCACAAGATCTGATGCGGGACAGTACTACTGCATGGCTGGAAATGGGATCGACCAACCTGTCCCCTCCAGGATCAGTTTCATTGATGTACAATGTAAGTAGGCTAAGGCTGATCAGTGTTTATTTCCGCTTAAACAGCTGCCTAACTTTCATTTGTCACGTGACATGTTCGTTATTCTTTAAATGGAATTTATTATTATATTATTAAAAACTGGATCATTGGATAATGCAATTCTAGAGTTTTCATTGGCTTAGCCATCATGGGCTCTGAGCCATTATAATTGCTCTGCAAATATGGGAAGAGAACGCGTGATTTTTGAGGGCGTTTTTACTTTTATAATTTTTATTTTAGTTTTCAGTATTTTGGGGTGCGTTTTCAATAAAACAATCATTCCAATCGCGCTTGTTAGATATGAGATGGTTATAGCCAACTTGGGGCGACGCAACTTGTTGTCTATCTACTATTCGCGCTCGTTGAATAATTGTTAAGTAATTATTACGAGATAACATGAACAACTGTTGTACAATGCGACGGAAGAACAAAGTTGAAAGGCTTTTGATTTATCATTCGACATTAATTTATTCAAGTGACACCCGCCTCCCCCGCCTGTAAGATTCCATGCGCATTATAGTCTCATAGCGGAGTCTTCGTTCCCCTTAGGAACGAGCGACCCCGGGAAAAGTTGAGAGCCCGAAAATGTCGAGTCGCGCATGCCTACCCGCCAAACCCAAGGTCAATATTTCCTTGGTATCTTACTCCTAATGATATACTTAAACCAGCCAATTTTCAAGCCAATCCAAATCGATTTGGCTGTTTTTAAGCCAATCCAAATTGATTTTGCAACGTAACTCTCTTAAGTCGTTTTTTTCTTCAAACGGACTGAAAACATTTTATCTGCATGACTTCAGATTTATTCGAATTAGTGCTCTGGATAAATTCAAACGCTGAATCAAGAGATATAGTCTCTTGGCTAAATTTATTTGTAGCGGTGTCAGCTCAGGTGGCGGAGACATCCGTGAGACTAAGGACTAAATAACTCGCAGGTTCCATAAGGCTGAGATTTATTGAGTAGACTCTTACAGCGCTACCGTGTACTAGGAAGTGTAGGGGATCGCTCTGGGTTGGTTCTGAGTGTTACAGCAAATATCTGCTGGTCCTGTCGAGTTTCTGTGAGCCTTATGAGATTTTTCCATGAGTTATGCGATATTACAATATTCTCTCTTAGTTACGTCAAGAAATAATAATTTTGGCAAAATGAAAGCTTGATATGCTACTGGAATGATAATTTTCATGTAAACAGAAAATCACTCCAGGTCACGCATATCTTATTAGCCGAGTCCGTGGGCCTCGCAACTCTCTATTAACTTGGCAAAAGACCCCGGTTTTTCAGATAATCTCCAGTCTATTTGACCACGTTTTTTTGACTGCAAGAATTCATTGGCACAATGGAAGTAATTCCTGCCATAGAAGCCTGTAGTGAACCTTGGATGGGCTCCAGCCTTGATTAAATGCTTCGTTGGGTTGATGTAATATGCGAAATTCTTTGCCTTGTTTCCCCAGAGAAGCCAGGCTGTTGAATCGCAAGCTTTGTTGACATAGTCTACTAGAGATTTCGTGAACTCTGCCCAAATTGCTTCATGGGAATTTGCTTGCCCTTGTCGGACTGTTAACGCTGAGTTCAACAGCAAGACTCCCTGATCTAACCAGGGCGTTAGATCACCATTGGACAAGCCCACAGGGAATCCTTCCCACTTCAACTCCACGAGCATGTTGAACACACTTGGTACTTCACTTGGATCAACGTCTGGATTCAGGCTGAACGCCAGGCCTGTTGCTTTGCCAGCTTGAGGAGTTGGATCCTGGCCTAAAATGACAGCTCTTACCTTGTTGTGGCTGACTTTGAAGGCATTAAACACGTCGGGCATAGGTGGTTCGATTGGAAAATTTTGAGCATCTTCAACTAGCTTCGGAGATACGTTTATCATGATTTCTTCGCGAACTTTTTCTAAGAAGCCTCCCCATCCCATTGGAAAACAGTGATGCGTGTAGATAAAGTCGTATAAAGTGACTTCCTTGTATGTCGCTTCGTTGCATTTGAACTTCTCAACTTCCATCACTTGGGAACGCTTTTCCAAGCGAGTTACATTAGAGACTTGTGAAGCATGGTAGAGCTCTACTGGAAGCAAATCAAAAAAGAAAAAACAGAATTTCATCTTTGGTAAAAAAAAACATGCGATAGTACAAAAAAAAAAATGCATTGTGTAGTAGAATTCCACCTTACGCTAAAACGGTTGAAGCGAACAATTTAGACGCCAATATCTAAAACACCCGCCACATTTTTATAACCTGAAAACCACTAACAAACCACCTTGGAAAAATGTGTAGCATGCAAGGACCATTTTTTGAGTCCCAAGCCTTCCTCCTCGGTTTTCGTTGTCTATTTACCTTGGCTAAGTCACTTGAAATGGCTCACGAGATAAATGACAAAAGGCAAATGATAATCAAAACCATCAAAACGTATTTTCCAGGTTATTGTTACTCTAGTGTGAAAAAGAGTCGATGGGAAGTTAGAATCCTGTTACTATATAAAAGAAATGAACAAGCAATTTTCACATCGCAAACTTGCCCAAGCGCCACATCGTAACGCATACACCTGTTAATACATTTTTTTCTTTAATAACGTCGAGGCTGCAAAGAGGGCTAAATTTAGATAGTGACAAGGATTTTGCTGACGCTAAATCTAGAAATTTTATTTATTAACATTCAAATTTTCTTTTTGCGTCGCGTCCCCATTTTCCTAAAAATGTTTTCTTGTTTGCTAAAAATAATTGCACGATATCCCTTGAAATGAATGACGATGCATATTTTCCCTTATTTCCATAACCCAAGGGGGCCGTCACTATTGATTAACTTGCTCGTTTTGTTTTGTTCCTTGTGTTTTTTTTATCTAATCTGGTTTAGTCACCTGTGACTACCATACCTGCATCGATTCCAATAACACTCAAAAGCAGAAAGATTACAGCAGTGATTCGAGTCATTGTTAATAACTCTCAACTGGAAAAGAAAAGAAAACAAGAGGCTAAAGTCACGTGAGAGATATGAACGCCACATTTTGTTGTAAGAAACTACCAAACATAACCTGATGCATACACGATGAGAGTTTGGAAAAATTTGAAAACTTATGTGAAGTCGCGGGTCATTCGTAAAGAAAGGGGCAGGGGCTTGTCATTTAGGAACGTAAGGCTTGATTCAGTTGATTCTTTGATTGCTAAGCACCTTGTTTGCATAATTGAAGAATGTTGTCATTTCTTTAAAGTATACCGTAGTATATGAAACAGGAAGGAAAATTAAAGTTCGATATTTTTTTTTCTCGCTTCCTTGTTGTATTCCTTGTTTGAGAAAATGAATCCAATTCTAGGCAAACCGAGCTCAACTGATAATTATTAATCACGACTTTTATAGTAACGTTTTAAAGTGATGAATCGTAAATGGATCGTGAGTGAATCAGCTTGCTAAAGCTCTATAAACGACTGAAAATGGACACAATGATCCGAATGATCCAGGTTTTATCGGCTTTCATACTACAATTCGGTATAACTCTGCTGTGAAAACGTGAATAAGAGAATCAGGATAAATGTCTATCCTAAAAACGCCCAACCATTGTGTATTTTCAATCCACGAGTCAGTTTTTTTCTTATCAGCAAGCCAAAATTGCAAGCGAGCTATCAAAAAGCCTTAGGAACAACAAAAGGAATCTATTTAGAAAGTTTTAGATTGTTTATTTCATACCCGGGTATGTGAAACTGAACTTGTTGATTTCAATTAAGCTATTGAAATCTCTATTCGCTGTTAAGAGCCCTCTCGGCAATTTAGACAGACTTATCAAACAGGCTAAGGCAGAACGAACCTTGAAAATCAAAACAAGGTAACGTACTTAAACAAGAGTTCAAATATTACTGACTTACTTGAATTGATCTGGATCGCTCTAAGTTCCCACTGTGAATGAAGGAATCTTGCTGAGAAAACAACAGAAATTAAAACTCAAACAGGTACCTTAGTGAATTATTTACGGATGAGGAAATGTGGACTGACTTGGTTGTCTTTTGTTCAGGGTCTTGAGTGCTTAGCCGTAGGTTTACATTGTTTAATGATGCTGTCACTTTCTATGCAGGATTGAAACAGGAAAGAGCTATTTTAATCATGCGCGATGAAGAAATATTCAAGTTTTAAAAACTTAGCGTACATTCTTTTGTTTTAATCCCTCGGTTTTCTCCTTCTTGTGTTTTTTTTCTTGCTTGAAATTAAAAGATCGATCAGATAGAGAAAAGAGAAAACGCCAAAGGAGAAAACGAAAAAGAGAAAACGCAAAAGAGAAAAAGCCAAAGGAGCTATGTCACGCTTTGCGCATCTTTGAAAAGTTTAGCCCAAATTTTTGAAGTCCGAGATTGATGAGTTTTCAGAGTGCAACTTCCGTTTTTAAATTTCCCCGGCGTGGTGTGGACAGTTCCTCACGGTTGTACCACTCAAGCCGCCAACACGTTTTTTGTTTTCTGTTTTCACCTTCTTAATATAATAAGATCAATAAAACGAGCCACAGAAACAATCGTTTACCTTAATCAAACCTTCTGCAAAGGCAGAACGCAGCCGTTAGCATAGAAACGAAACTAACTTCGTTAAAAAATAATACACAAAACGATGGAAAGAAAGATTACTCACCCCTCTCGTTGCCGATGACAAAATGAGTTCGAAAGCAGTCAAAAATGAATAAAGCTGTTTCGAAATTACAGAACAGGCCTGGAAATGGTTATTTGTTTATGAACAGCGAATGTAGGTTTTGGTTCTATATTGTTTAGTTCAACAGGTGCTTAGTACTAGTTTATTCAAATTATCCCTAATAATGAAGTCACAAGCTTCTTTTGAAGTATAATATTCCAAGTCCCATATGGCATACCGTAAAATTCCTGTAATACGACCCCCGAAAATAATCAGTTCTGTCTCCTTAATTCAATTAAATTCTTGCCCTATGGTCCTCACGAGCTGTGTAGCGAAGATTTAGCCTTAGAAGAGAAATATGTTTCATTTGTTTGGACGATGAGTTCTGCTGTAAAACCTATTGATTGTCAGAGCTGGGAATCAAAGACTTTCCATCTGATCAGCGTAGAAACTGTTTGGGCTTCATATTGTCAGTACGTACCCTTTAATATGTTTTTGGTGACCACTTAACAAGAGGTATTCTTATAAATTTACACTAGCCTTAAAGTTTTAAGACGCAAAGACCCTTCAAAAGATAAAGATCAACAATTTTGTCAAAGCCGCCAGAACATTCCTTACTATTGTGAATACGTTTCTTGTACATTGCATCTATGCTTCCACTGATTCGATTTTAATTTTACTAAACTTGATCACTACTTTACTAAATTTGATCAGTCAAGTTATTTTAACAGTTAATGGTACTGATAGAAAATTCCAACAGATGTCGCATTTGCCTTAAATACTCTAAGATTAAATAAATAAAAACATTTACGAGAGGAAGCCACCTCAACTCTAGCTATTTTTCATGCGGCTCCTCTATATCCTAGTCGAATTGGAATTTGGAAACGTTGGTCTTTGTGGGGGAAAGGAAAACCAGAGAACCCGAAGAAAAACCCTCGGAGCAAGGCGAGAACCAACGACAAACTCAACCCACATATGGCACTGAACCGGAATTGAACCCAGGCCAACTTGGTGGGAGGCGAGCGTTTTCACCACTGCACCTTCCCTGCTCCCCTATTGTTCTATGGCTTTACCATCGCATTTTTGAGGCTAGAATGCTCTATACTAGGATATTTGTTTTTACTTTATTTGGCGCAGAGAAAACTACACGTCGTCAAATGACTCAGTTACTACTGAAACTATTCATATTGCTTTCAACTTTCATTCAGATCCACCGAGGCTGAATCCAAGTCTTCCTCGAGATCATTCCGTAACCGAGGGAGAAACAATGTCAATGACGTGTATTGTTGAAGAAAGCAATCCTTTTCCGAACATATCTTGGATTAAGCTTGATGATCCTAAGAAGGTGTTCCCAAGTGGAGCCAATCTGAATCTGAGTGATGCGACGCCTGGCGACGAAGGGAAGTACCGCTGCATAGCAGAGAACGGCGTCGGAGGACAGATTGTTTCACGTGCTGCTAGAGTAGAAGTGCAGCGTAAGTGACTCAGTAAACTAATCTAGCAAACAGTTTGTGCGTCTGGATTTGAATCGACCAATCAGGATTCAACAGGCGGAAAAAACCTGTACTGTTCTGACGTCAATGTATGTCAACAGGAAAGGCGACTTTGACACTCGAGAGGGCATTGATTATTCACGAAAAGTGATTTAAAATAAAAGCCATATCACACTGTAAAAGTGAAAAAAAAAAAACATATGAAAGATTTAATGCCAAGCTTTTAATTTGGCGCCAAAAATGGTTCGTCCCCTCCGGTAACTCATTGTTCGCTGGTCTAGTGTCGCCAGGTAGGGTATAGTTGTGTTATTTTGAACAAAATATGTTGTTCTTCGTCGAAATAAACCCCCAATTCTCGTGTTAAGTATATTAGAAGAGGCCAAAGCAGCTTAAGCATTGTCTTTATTTAATTCGTTAGCTGCGAAGAAAAAGACTAACATCGTGTAGGTCCTGTAGGACAGCTCGGTTTTGACTAGCTAGCGCTCCGCGAACCGCGGGAGTAGCCACCTTATCAATTCAAGGAATTTAGAAGATCAGCATTCTAAAGACGTTTTTTAAACTGTGAAATCTATCTTCACGTTGTCAATCTTTACCGTCTGAGACTGGACCCAAAAAATTTTATACTGGTGACGTTGCTCTATAGAGATTCGTGTAGCGTCTCTGATTGGTTGTTTGTTGAGTGCAAAAATTCAAAACCGAGTAATGACCAGTCAGAGACGCTGCACAGATCTGTGTAGAGTTGCGTCATCAGCATGGAATTTTTCATTTCGAGTCTCAGACCGTTAGGCCTTTTAAGACAACAAAAAGAGATCATGGTTAGAAGTAATGTGCTCTGTCATTTAACAGGGAAAAGCAAAGTAAGCACAGAAGCAAGAAAAGACGATACGGGTATTAGCAAACGTAAGTCAGCGATACGTTGCCCACAGTGGCGGATATAGGAATGCCACCCCCACCCCCCCTACCCACACACACACACACACCCCTACACGCCCCTGCCCCCCTGTCTCTCTTTTCTTCCAATCCAAGCCGAACCCATGCTTCCCTTCTATGACTGAGGGATGGCCCACCTTTCCATCGCTTCCCGTATTTGCCATTTTGAGAACCGCTGGGTCCAAGACTAGTTTATTATTAGATGCCCATGTGAAGTTTTTACTTCTCAAGAACATTTCCTCTTGCCAAAATAAGGCTCTTGCTCTTGCTGGCCTTGATAAACTGATAAATTGGAGTTTACCTCCTGTAGGTAACGTCTTACATCATGATATTAGATTTACTATCTATGTTGTGACATCTCTGTTCACACAAGCACAATAGTCTTGCAAATAGCTCCAACTACTTTGACGAATTATTAACCGATAAACTTATTAGTTAATTACATTTTTTTTTTCTAGGAGGAAAATTGATCATAATATTATTAAGTGCAGCCGTTGTTATGGTAATTACTGCAGTATTGGTGATGGCGATCTTTTGGATTTGTTTCTTTAAGGAATCAGGTTTGTAGTCGCTAGAATTGTATTTATGTAGTTGTTTGTTTCATTCCCCTCTTTTCCTCTCTCCCCCTCTCCCCAAGACCAACACCGCCATCCCGTCTTATTTTCATTTCATTGTTTTTGTTTTTGTTGTTGCTTTTCTTTCGTTAGCTAGAACGCACAGTTTACTAGATACCGCAAAATTCTGAAGTCAAACCTTGGGTTTACGCTTGTTTCACTGAAGGTTAATACTTTGGACAACTTATTTTAAAGCGGGAGGTGGCGCGAGGTGTAGTCTTTTTCGCGGGGGGTGGGTCTGGGGTGGGTTTGGGGTGGTCTCTCAAGGGCAATCGGGAACAACGTTGC